AGTGGCCAGATAATTGGTCACACTGCCCTCCCCTGTTTCGGCCCCTCTCAAGTCCATTCTCTACATTGCAGCCAGAGTGATTTTTTCTCATATGCATATATGAACCTGCCTCTATTCTGATAAAAGCATTTAATGGTTTCCTGTACCCTCAACCTAGATACTAGCTCATCTCTATCTGAGGCTACTGCTTTAGCACCTGCCACACAAAACCACTTGCAGCCTCCCAACTCTTTCTATTTTCAGGCATCTGTACTCACTGCTTCCTCTGCCTGGGATCATCCTTCCTACTCTTTTTTCTTCCTTTCTAATTCCAACTAGTCTTCTTGATTCAGCATAGATTTTTTTTTCTTTGGTGGAGGCTTTTTGACCCCAAAGGTTGAGTTAGGTGTATCTTCTCTGTCTCCTTCACTAAACTGCAAACTTTTATGAAGTAGATGACAGTGTCAATTGAATGAGTTTGGGAGGTGGTCTTAAGGATTGCAAAGAACATGACTGAGGACTGGGTCCCTGGAGTTGATCTCTACAGAATCTGCTGTTGGGCATCAGGCTTCTGGCACTGCTGAAACTCAGGAATACAGCTGGCTGTTCTAGAACCATCTGGGTACTGGAGTTCTGGACCAGGCAGAGCTGCTCCTGGGTCTCATGAAGCTTCTCCTACTGCTGCCAGAGGTTGGCTTGCAGGATCTGTGCCTGCTGCTCCAGCTGGTCTTTGATGGTCTGGAACATGCTTTGAAGGCCAGGAGAGAGTAATGAGCTGGGCCTGAATCTGAAGGTGGAGCTGGAGGTACAGGTTTCAAAGTCCTCAGTTTAGGGGCATTGAGCTGAGGTCAAGGAGTAAATGACACTGTATCTTGGAAAAGGTCAGGCCTAGGGAGCAGTAAGGAGAAGATCTGCCTTTGCAAAAGACAATGGAGGAATGGTCTGCTTCTTATAGAAGAACCAGGATGAGGAGGGAGAAGCAACAGTGTCACGCACCAGAGAGAGTGAAGAGTATGTGCCTGTGGGTTTGGACTTAATGAGGTCAGAGATGTCCTTGGAAAGACTGTTGATGGCTCTTTTGTGAGGCTAATCACTTGTTCTAGTTCAGAGTAGAAAGAAGGGGCTGTGTGGGGCTTGGAGTTCCAGAGCAAAAGCCATCTGAACTGTACACAGGGAAGGAAGAATTGATGACAGCAGTAGCAGCAAAAATTGTTCATAAATTAACCACAAAGTTGAGCTGGGGCATACTCCAGTGTTGAGATGCCAGGGCCCTTCCCCACTTCTGATCCCACCCTACTAATACCTGCCAAGTTTGAGAATATCAAGGAATAACCAAGCATAGGTGGGCAGGAAACTGTGGAAGCATATACAAAACTGTATATAGAGTTTTTTGTTTAGCAACTACCATTTATTTCTTTCTGTATGATAAGCATTGTGCTGATTGTCTTGTGCATGTTATGTCACCTACTCCTTACAACAATCCTTTAAAATATTGTCAATTAATTACTGAGAAAACTGAGGTTTAGAGAACTTAATCAACCTGTTGAAAGTCAACTGGTAAGGTTGACTTTCCCCGCTTAAGTGATAAGCAGAGATTAAAACTGAGATCTCTGATTCCAGAGTCCTTGCTCTTCCCCAGCCTGCTGGCATAGTGGTTGGGCAGCATGGGGGAAAGGGTCTGGGAATCAGACCCTAGTGTGGGAGTCCTAGTTTGGGAGTCAAGGGAGAGGCATAGAAAGGCTTCTGAAAAGCCAAGGAACCTATTTTATGTACATAACCCACTTTCCTGACTCTGCCAGACCAAGTAGTGAATGAAGTTTACTGCACACCACAGAACCATCTAGAGCTGCTTAGTCCCCTAACACCTTCTGCACTGATGGAATGTTCTTCATCTGTGGTGTCTAACATGGTAGCCACTAGCCATACATGGCTACTGAGCACTTAAAATGTGACTACTCTGGCCAGGAACTAAAAATTTTAATTTAGTTTAATTTTAATTAGTTTAAATTTAAATTTAAAATCTGATACTTGGTTCAGTTTTTGGAAAATTTAAGTATATTTTGAACAACTTAGTATATGAAATTACTTTTTCAATTTATAATTTTGTGAAATATAAATACAGTTAGCACTAGAATTGATATTTGCTATATATATCATATATACTAGATTACAAAGACATATGAAAGAAATGAATATAAAATAAATTAATAAATTTTAATTGGCTAGATATTAAAATATTTTTAATATGTTGGTTTAAATAAATGTAATATTTAAATTAGTTTTACCTTCTTTTAGAAAAAAATTTAATGTGCCTACTAGAAAAATGTTCATTAAATATGTGGTACACATTGTATTTCTGTTGGATAGCTTTGATCTAGACCTAGGTCCCGGTACTAACAGAAGTTTCAGGTAAATGGTAGGGTTGAAAGGCCTTTCCCTACCTTTTTCCCCCCTACTCTAGGTCTCTCCATTCTTTCTTCCTCTCCATCCCTCGTACTCCTCTTACCCTTGTGGTATGGAAGGTATGATTACATAATTATACCTCTCCAAAATGTTTAATTTTAACAAACAGCAGAGGTTGTGTGGATGCTTCACATAAAGGAGTGTCCCATTGTCAGTGGATTTTATGCTTCAGTGAGGGAAGTGGTTGGCCTTCTAGATGTCTCTATTGATAGGTGCTAGTAGCATTCTTCTCAAACTTCCAGGATTATCCCTAATTACCTGCTCTTCCCATGTAAGTACTCATACTTATCAAATTTTGAATCCTAGTTTAAGGTTACAAAATGTATATATATAGAAATTATTAGTCTGCTTATGTATATTGCTACTCTCCCTATTTCTAACAGTGGGCCTTGCTGAGGTGCTAAAGACACTTGCAGTCAAAACCTGTCTTGCTCAAGCTACAAATCCTAGCAGGCATCATGGGGTGAGATTCTAAAATGCTAAAGACTACATATCTCTAGAGCCCCTATTAAAAGGATAAGTGGTAGAATCTATATCTTTATTTTTAATTTTAAAATAAAGTATCCACCTGGCTGGTGTGGCTCAGTGGATTGAGTGCAGCCTGCAAACCAAAGGGTTGCTAGTTTGATTCCCAGTAGGGCACATGCCTGGGCTGCAGGCCAGGTCTCTAGTTGGGGCACATGAGAGGCAACCACACATTGATGTTTCCCTCCCTCTCGTACTCCCTCCCTTCCCCTCTCTCTAAAAATAAATAAATAGAATCTTTAAAAAAATAAATAAAGTATCCTTGTTTCTTTATATGTAAATTGGGAAAAACAATAGAGAGGGCTTTTGGGTAGACTTATGACAGCTGAGAGGACAAAATGAGTTCATACATGTAAAGTGCTTAAACCAGTGTCTGGAATATAATAAACCTTCAATTCAATAACTGTTAACTATTAATATAAAATAGGTGTGGAATACTTCTAAATGTGTGACAGAACTTATGTGACATCCTATTTCTATTAGAATATTTATTGGAAGCATAGTAACCTATCTTACTCAATAGAAGGAAAAGGTTGGAACAATGAAACCCTGGGAGAGCTGAGTATAAGCTGCACATCAAGAACTTGAATGCTGCAGGCACTCTCTGTCTCTTGTCTCTGTGCTTCTGTGTGTATTAACTTCATTCTTGATCACTGCAGAAGGGCTTTCTCACGTGGTCAGAAACCAGCAACTCCCGAGTCTACTTCTGGCACTTTCCTTTAGTGCAAGGAGTCTCTTCTCAGTTATAGTTTAAAAAAAAACCTAAGGGAAGGACTACAAGGGGCCTAGCTTGGATCAGGCACCCACTCTTAAACCAATCAATCTTAGCTGAGGGGAATTGGGCATATAGGAGCATGGTTGCTCCTGTTGGAACCCCACAGTTACAGTTGAGGTAAAGAAGTTACCAAACATAAGTAAGGGTGTGGGCAGATCCTTGCCATACTCAGTCATTGGTTGGGGATTATTATGGAGAAGTATAGCTTCAGCTCAAATGCTGTAGCAGATCCCAAAGGTGCTGCAACTTGAGGCTGTTAGCTAACTTCTCCCTTCACAGCTGATCACTAAGTTCTTGAAGGGACATTCAAAGAGCATACCTATCCATGGGTGCCATGGTTCATCCTTGTGCTGCATAAATTTACCTTTCCACACAGGTTCAGAGAGAAGCTCCTCCATGTCCCTCTATTCTGAGGGCTGTGAGCTTTTGTTAATCATACCATTCTTAGGTTGCGATTGCTGCACTGTCCATTCAAGGTCACAGTTCAATAACAGTGCCAGAGGTACACGTGTGAATCATCTGAGTTCCACACGTATTCTTCCATGCCCTCATTGTGTAATAGGAGCCCTGCTTCTATTTGCTGATGACAGACAAGAACCTCTGCCAAGGTGGTGACTCTCTTTTTGCTTGCTGGTCCCTGGACACAGGGACCCAAAGTGCCCAGGCAGCAGCCATAGTTTGTAGTTCACTGTGTCCATTGGCAAGAGTGCACTTCCTAATGAGTCCCTCCAATTTTGCAGAGCCCAGAGTTGCAAGGATGAGGAACACAAAATCCTCCAGTCATTGGGAGTGACAGTAAGAGGAATCACTCTTGCTTCCACTTTGACTTTAGGCACATATTTTCTTCCTACTGGATATAGCACCATAGAGGCCTCTGATTCAGTGCACATACTGCATCCTGGAGGAGTGCCCAATCCATAACAGTCTTGCCTCCAAGATTATATTTTATAATCAACAGCCAGGTTATAAGATCCTTAAGGGCAGGGAATCATCTATGTAAACCCAGAGTCTTTAATGCCACCTGGGATATGATACTGAAATTTGATAAGAATTACTCAACCAAATAAAGAATTAATTAATTAATTAATTAATTAATTAAAACAATGAAAGTTGGATGAATACAAGGCCTTGGGATGAATACTCCCTTGGGACTAGGGAGTAGTGTGGACTGGCTACAGAATTGGCAATATCATTCAAAATCATTTTTCAGCTACAATCTATAAGATATGACTCTAGAATCCTTAACGCAAAACCTTACCTTTTTCATGAGTTTTAGATGAACATGTACAACAGCAAACTTGATGTTGATATGCAGATGTCCCCAAATCACCTGCAACAAAACATGTTCGAATTGAATTCATTTTCCCACTAACCCAATTCTTCCTTCTCCTCTGCTAATGCCACCCAGATCAGAATCTCTCCCTCAGTCTTATTATTCAATTTGTTACTAAAATTTTGTTACATCTATATCTTTCATGGCTTTTGAATTTGGCTTTCATTCCCCTCTGCTTTCCTTCTGTCCAGCCACTTTTCCTTCCTATCCATCTTGCTTGTCACTGTCAAACAGATTTTTCTAAAATGCAGACTATATCATGCTTCTCTCTTTCTTCAGACTGTTTAATAGCTCCCCACTGTTGTAGGGTAAAACTCATGGTTAGCCTCACTTACAGTGTCTTCCACTATCTGGTCCTGTCTGTCACTTACTACTCTACAAAGCTAGAAGCTTGTGATGGTGAGGACTGTATTGTCCTTATCTTCATTATTCCAGTGCCTAAAACATTTTTGGAGACCCAATTAAATTTCCCTAGATGAATGAGGAGAGAAGACCCAAAATGGGCTTTAAGATTGAGCTGGGTGGATAAAATATACAATGTCTGTCCAGAAAAAGTCCAGGAATTGTTAATATAACAAGAATGGTTTGCACAACATTGATGTAACCTGGCAGCCAAGGACAGCAGATTGGAATGCACATGTGTGAACAAGGATGACCTCACTGTACTAGTCAGAGGGAGTGGTAGACATCATTAAGTGAGTATGTGTACTATGTGGCTGTTGTATTCAAAATGACTGAGGGAGTAGAGCAATGAATCTGCATCAAATTTTGTATTAAGCATGAACATTCCCCTCCAGAAACTATTCAGATGACTTCAGAAGGCTGCAGCTATGGGCAACTGGTGACTGGCAGCTTCATCACAAGAATGCACCTGTTCATGCATCACATCTCATGCAGAGATTTTTAGCAAAACACCAAATCACCCAGGTGACACAGCTCCTCTACAGCCCAGATTTGGTGCCCTGCAACTTCTGGCTTTTCCCAAACCTAAAGTCACATTTGAAAGGGAAGATATTTCTGAATTTCAATGAGATTCAGGAAAATACAACAGGGCAGCTGATGGCAATTGGGAGAACTGTGTGAGGTCTTAAGGTGCCTACTTTGAAGGGGACAAAGGCATCATTGTCCTATGTACAATGTTTCTTGTATCTTCTTCAATAAATGTCTCTATTTTTCATATTACATGGCTGGATACCTTCTCAATAGACTTCATAGATGAAACATCTAATCTGGAAACTTCAAACAATTATTGGGCTAGTAAGTTGAGTTTATTGATGAAAGAGACTCCTTATCCTTAATTTTTGTATTTCCAGACTTTCGATCAAGATGGTGGCATAGGTACATGCAGTATTCACATTCTCCCACAACCATATCAAAATTACAACTAAACTACAGAATAACCATCATTCTCAACCACCTGAAATCTAGCTGAACAGAAGTCCTACAACTAAAGATATGAAGAAGAAGCCACATCGATACTGGTAGGGGAGCAGAGAATCAGAACAGGCTTGTGGATAGAAATCGGGCAGAATATTCAGCTTCAGAGGACTCCTCCCCCACAGAAGTGAGGAATCTCTGTCCAAAATCAGGCTGCCCAGCCCAGGGTTCCAGTGCCAGGAAGAAAAGTTCCCTACTTCTGACTGTTTAAACCAGCAGGGGTTGTGGCTGAGTCAAATGGAGGGCATCTGGATTCCCAGGCACTCCTCTTAAAGGGCTCACACATGGACTTGGACTTGGACATACTCAGTCTGAGCTCTAGCACTGGGGCATCAGGGACATACAGGGAGGAACTGAATTGTCTGGCATCAAAGCGAGAGAGGGAGTAGCATTTTTCTCCCAGAAAGAAATGCTGGCAGAGTCCATTGTTCCTTTTCTGAGTCTTTATGCTGCCAATAGGCAGGATCCATATCTGAGTCTCCATAAACCTGGCTAATACTTAACACCCTGCTGTGGTGATTCCCTGAGTTCTCATCCCAACCAACTTGGGGGCCCACCCAAGCTGTTTCCAGTGGCTTTTCCATATGAATGACCTGTCTTAGCTCATGTTTTAGACTTTTCCAAAATCTCTCAAAGAAGCAGCATCTGGCCTCTGCATCCTCTGTAACTCTCACTAAGTAGCTCCAGACCTAGCACTACCAGCAGCTGGCCTTGGTTCACAACCTGGCCTCACCTGGGTACCTGAAAGCCAAGCACAAGTAGCAGCCATAAGTAGATTGCTTTGTAGCTCATGCCAAGTGGCCCTGGGCAAATCACAGGTAGAGGCTGGCCTTGGCCTGCACTTCCTGGAATTTCCAAAGCCAGCACACCAGGTGGATAGCTTCAGAACATATCAAACCATTACCTAACTTCTTCCACAAGGGACATACTCAAGGGTTTGACTCAGCAGGCACCGGAGTTCCTGTGAAGTAATCCTGCTTTGTGGGGTGGGCCACTGAATAGCTGATCCTCCATGGGGGTCGTAGTCAGTCCTTATAGCCAGTCCTTGCAGCCAATCATCCTGGGGGTAAATCCCTCTCACTGATATGCTGACAGCAACCAAGGCTCAGTGACTACAGGAGGGTATACAACCCACACGAGTGGGCAGGCACTTGGAGTGCCCAGCTTGAGTGATCAGGGAGGCTGTGCCACTAAGCCCTACAGAGCACCTACTACATAAGACCACTTTACAAAGCCCAGGAGACATGGCAGCTCTACCTAATACGTAGAAACAAACACAGAGCTGCTGCCAAAATGAGGAGAAAAAGAAGCTTGGCCCAAATGAAAGAACAGGAAAAAAACCTCCAGAAGAACCAAACAAAATGGAGACAAGCAATCTACTACATGCAGAGTTTACAACACTGGTTATAAGGATGCTCAGTGAACTTAGGGAAAAGTAGATAAACTTAGTGAGAACTTCAACAAAGAGATAAGAAACCTAAAAATGGAAATAGGAAACATAAAAAAGAACCAGTCAGAAATGAAGACTATACTAACTGAAACGAAGAACACATTACAGGGAATCAGTAGTGGAGTACATGAAACAGAGGATCAAATCAAAGATTTAGAAAATAAGGAAGCAGAGACTTCTGCAAAGATGTAGGCATAAGTGAAACATTGTGCCTTCTTGCACAACCAAGTTCAAAGACAACAAAGTTTTAGTAACAAAAAACGCATCCAAAACACAGAAAATTGAACTATATGGAAGTCGGACAACAATAACCCTTTAGCCAGACCAGTAAGAGGGGCAGAGCCAGCAACTGGCAGAGCAGGGTTGCACAGGAAAACTCCACCAGACCAACCCAGGTGCATGGGCAGTGGTTGGTGGATCCCAGGCATGGGGTTGCATTGGGCAGACCCAGTGAGGGCCCAAGGCAGCAGGCTGACCATGGTCACACATTTGAGCACAGATAAACCAGCAAAGGAGCCAGCATTGAGACAGACTGTGCAGGCCCTAGTGGCAGGAAGCAGCAGAGGGGACCACTATTGCCCCTCTTTGACCCCGCCCCCACATACAGCATCACAACCTAGCAAAATGGGCGGCACCACCCTGGTGAACACCTAAGGCTCCACTCCTCATACATAATGGGTGCAAACAGACCAAAACATGGCTCAAGAAGAACTCAAAGCCCCAGAGCCCATAACTCTAATAGACCAAGAACTAGCCAAACTTTCAGATACACAGTTCAAAACACTGGTAATCAGGATGCTCACAGAACTGGTGGCTTTTAGTCACAAATTACAGGAACAAATGAAGCCTACACTAACTGAAATGAAGCGAAATGCACAAGAAACCAATAGTAATAGAAAGGAAACTGGGACTCAAATCAAGGGAGTGGACCAGAAGGAAGAAAAAAAATGACCAAACAGAAAAATATGAAGAAACAAGAATTTAAAAAATGAGGAGAAGCTAAGGAACCTCCAGGACATCTTTAAACGTTCCAATATCCGAATTATAGGAGTACCAGAAGGGGAAGAGGAACAGCCATGAGTGGAAACCTTATTTGAATGAATAATAAAAGAGAATTTCCCCAAACTGGGAAAGGCAATAGACTTCCAGGAAATCCAGGAAGCTCAGAGAGTCCCAAAGAAGTTGGATCCTAGAAGGAACACACCAAGGCACATCATCATTATATTAGCCAAGATTAAAATGAAGGAGAGAATCCTACAAGCAGCAAGAGATAAGGGAACAGTCACCTACAAAGGAGTTCTCATCAGATTATCAGCAGATTTCTCAAAAGAGACCTTGCAGGCAAGAAGGGGCTGAAAAGAAGTATCCCAAGTCATGAAATCCAAAGACCTACATCCAAGATTGCTCTATCCAGCAAAGCTTTCATTTAGAAAGGAAAGGCAGATAAAGTGCTGCTCAGATAAGGTCAATTCAAGAAGTTTATCATCACCAAGCCCTTATTATATGAAATGTTAAAGGAACTTACCTAAGAAAAAGAAGATAAAAAAGATGAACAGTGAAATGACGGCAAACTCACAGTTATTAACAACCACACCTAAAACAGAAGCAAACTAAGAGGACAGCTAGATCAGGAGTGAACCATAGAAATGGAGATCACATGGAGGGTTAGAAACAGGGGAGTGGGAGAAGGAGAAGGGGGCAGAAGGCACAGAAAATAAGTAGCATAGACCGTAGATAGAAAATAGATAGGGGGGAGGGCAAGAATAGTATGGGAAATATAGAATCTAAAGAACTTGAGACACATGGTCATAAACTAAAGTGGGAATGGTGGGGGAGGGGGTGTGCAGGGGAATGAAGGGGGGAAAGAGAACAACTGTAATGGCATAATTAATAAAATATACTAAAAAAAAGAAAAGAGTCCATCTCTGGTTGGTGTGGCTCAGTGGACTGAGTACCAGCCTGTGTTTCACCAGTTCAATTCCCAGTCAGCACACAGGCCTGGCTTGTGGGCCAGGTACCCAGTGAGGGGTGCACAAGAGACAACCACACATTAATGTTTCTCTCCCTCCCTTCTCCTTCCTTTCCTCTCTCTCTAAAAATAAAGAAATAA